ACCAATTAATGCCATTTGTGACAGCTAAACCCAAGGACAGATAAAGACTGGGGCTCAAACAACAAAACCCCAAAAGCATTTGTATGGTATCACTTGGGTGATGTTAGGCAGGAAAGATAGTTGTTACAGCAGAGGGAGGAAAAAGGTAAAAGAAAAAGGGAAGTTTATCTCACCCAGTGAACAAAGAAGTCAGTAGTCTTGGGACTTGCCAAGATAAAATTACCAGATGTTCTCACAAATTCTGGGAAAAGTTTCAACAATGTAAAAGGACGACTCTGAAATCTAGTCTATTCTGCAGGGGAACTTTGAAACCTATAGGCGGGGCAAGTATAAAACCTTTCAATCCCCATAAGGCAGTGCACTCAGACTGGCTGAGTTGCCCACTTGTGCTTTATGCCAAATATATTCTTAATAAATTGGCTTGTTTTACTTCAACACTGCTGTCACTTGTCTGCTTTATCACAAGTATGACAAGAGCCAACTTGATCAGCTCTCCAGTAACAAATCTAGGAAGACTAATACCCTAAAAATTAAAAGTCCAAAAGAAGAGAACAGAGAAAATGAAAGAGAAAAAAACTGAGTGCCCAGCAAAAAAAGTAGCAGCAAAATGATCCATAACCAAGGCACATAAATCTTGAAATTTTAGAATGCTGAGGATAAAGATTTAAAAAGTGTCCAAGGAAAAAAATAGGTCACATTAAAAAATTGAGAAAGCGTAATGCATCCAACTGCTCAATAGTAACAGTAGAAAAAAAGTAATACCTTTAAAATTATAGATCAAATTATACCTAAACTACAACTCTTTATCCAGCCAAATTAACAAATATGGATGTAGAATAAAAATATTTTTACATATGGAAGGTTTCAAAAATGTTTTCTTCCAGTCCTGGTCAGGTAGCTCAGTTGGTTGGAGCATTGTCCTGATTCTCCAAGGTTGAGTGCTCAATCCCTGGTCAGGGCCCATACAAGAGTCAACCAATGGCCCTGGCTGGTTTGGCTCAGTGGATAGAGCGTCGGCCTGCGGACTCAAGGGTCCCAGGTTCGATTCTGGTCATGGGCATGTACCTTGGTTGCGGGCACATCCCCACTGGGGAGTGTGCAGGAGGCAGCTGATCGATGTTTCTCTCTCATCGATGTTTCTAACTCTCTATCCCTCTCCCTTCCTCTCTGTAAAAAATCAATAAAATATATATTAAAAAAAAAGGAGTCAACCAATGAATGAATAAGTGGAACAATATATGGATATTCATATTCTCTCTCTCTTTCTCTCCCTCTCCCTCTCTCCCCTCGTCTCTCCCTCTCCCACCCTCTATCAATTTGAAAAAATATTTTCTTCCATTAATCCATATCAGAAAACTAATGAAAATGTACTCTACCAAAGGCAGTAATAAAAATAAATGGGGCCCTAGCCAGCATGGCTCGGTGGATAGAGCGTCGGCCTGCAGAATGAAGGATCACAGGTTCTATTTTGGTCAAGGGCATATGCCTGGGTTGCGGGCTCAATCCTCAGTAGGGGGCATGCAGAGGCAGCCAATTAATGATTCTCTCTCATCACTGAGATATTTTAAAATATATTTTTTAAAAAAAATAAAAATAAGTGGGAGCCATGAGTAGCAGAGAGTCGAAAATAGGAGGAAGGCAAAGGGAATTCGAAAAATGACAGCTAAATGCTGTTCAAAATTAAACAGAACTAAGTCTCCCAAAAGGATGTTTCTAAGGAAAGAAAAAATGAAATTTACTTTTCATTTTTAAATGTTAAAATGTTTACGTGTAGTGCATAAAGATTTACTTTGATTGGGAAATGTGGGGCTAAAATACTAATATGTATAAAGAAAATACAGCAAATGAAAATTGGCATAATTATAAACTCCAGGAAAAATAATAAGTATAAGAAAAAAAATGCAATTACAGGCTATTACATGTCATAATTTAATGGCAGACAAAAAAATTTAAACACTAATTATTAATTTAATTCAAAAGTTGAGACTACACTACACTGACAAGTAAAATCCTCATCTTTCTTTGAAGATTAGATCTAAAACAGAAAATCAGTACTAACAAACTTTCCAGAGCCCAAAATCACATACTTCGTACCCTGATTTTCTAAGTTGCTTCCTTCTCTTTCATACTCTAAGAACCTCACTAAAACTACCAATTCTTTTCTACAAAATGCATTATAGAAATACAGAAATAAACATAAGAAGAAGCATCTCAAATATTTTAAAGAGCATGTCTTGGAAGAGAGGGATGGGGCAGGAAGATATTGATTTAGCCACAGCTTAACAGATATATTTGACTTTTTTAAATATATACATGAATAACTTTGATCAAAATAAAAATGTCATGTAAGAAAAAAAGCTTGTTGATTCAAACCAGATTTTTTAAACTGTTAATTTTTAAAAAGCAAAAGAATGCCTTCCTCAAAACAATTTGTCCCCTAAATATTGGAAGTTCCTTTGGTCCCCCTTTTAAAATGTCTTCTGGTGACAATAATTTAAATTCATCTAGGGTTATGATTATGCCCAATTCAATTATCTTTAAAAAGTTAGGACTACTGGTCAACTATAATCCAGCTAAGAATTAGAACTGATAATGCTAGATTCAGGAAAGTGAGAGAGAAAAAATCAATATCTTCTCCTTAAAGAGATCAAAATGCTTTACAGTTGAGGACATGCAAAATGAATAAGAGAAAACAATCAGGAAAACATTTAACTTCTTATATTATAAATGAAAATAAGTTAAAAATACATCGCAATAGATATTATAATATTAATTCATTTTTTTTCCCTCTGTCCTCCCTCCTCAGGAGACTGAATGAGACCATATTTTCTACATCACCACTACATCATCCTTCTCCTACAACCTTAACCGTTTGGCTGCTGATGTATTTTTTCGGACATATGCCAAAACTGCGGCACTAATTGCGCGTGTATAGGAAAAAATGTAAAACACTTTTTATACAATAAACTCACTTGTATTGCTTTGCAACAACAAAAATTAAAAAATACCAATTGTTTACATAAATTTGTTTTAAATAAGAAGAGCGCGATAGCGCTCCTTAGCAGTCAAACGGTTAAGGAAATGACAAGAGTTTCTGGTATCACAATTAAGAATCATAACTGTCTTAAAACAATCTATATAATGAAAGCCTAAGCGACCATTATGGCAGAATGACCAGAAGGTCCGGTCACTATGATGCGCACTACCACGGGGCAGATGCTCAATGCAGGAGCTGACCCCTGATGGTCAGTGCACTCCCACAGGGAGAGCGCTGCTCAGCCAAAACCCGGGCTCATGACTGGCGAGTATAGCAGCGGTGGCGGAAGCCTTTCCCGCCTCCGCAGCAGCACTAAGGAGCAGTGAGCCAAGTGGTAAGGAGCAGCTAGCAAGCGGGCGGTAAGGTGCGAGGGATCTTGGACTGCAAGAGGGTACAGGACCAGCTGAGGGACTCACCCCTCTGCCCAGTGCATGAATTTCATGCACCAGGCCTCTAGTCTAAATATAAATCAGGACTCCCTAGAGCCCAAATTGCCAGATACAGTCTGATTTTTTTTCCCCTAAGTTTGCAGGAAATAGATTAATTGCCCTTTCATGCATAAAGTAAAAAAAAAAAAAAATTCAAGGTTTTTTTAAAGTTATATTATTATTCTTAAGGTATACTATACAAGTAATTATTATTTTTAAATATCACATTAGGTCCAAAAAATATGGTTTTCTACCTTCTAATATCTTACAAAAGAACCCCAAAATGCCAAATAATACAAGTTTATAAAAATTATAGATCAAAACAACCCTCTGAATTTATTACATTTAATATGCTGAAAGATAACATGGTAGACTGCTGAAACTTTATAACATAATGTAATATTGATACATTATGCCCTTCTTGGCTAGATTATAAAAAAATTGTATAGGAAGCATGAAGTGTAACTGCTCTTTACCTGCTTAGATTTCCTATTTTAAACCCAATAGCATTTTCTTTGTCCATTTATCTGCTCATATCATCACTGCAGCAACTATAACTTAGGTTTTAAATATTTTTAACAGCATTCCTTAGACAGATGATTAAAGCTGAAATTGCAGTAAGTGTCTAGAATAAAGTGACAGCTATCCTGGGAGAGACCAAGACACCTATTAACCTATTTTAAGGCCTTTTTTAAATTTCAAACAAATGCAGAAAAACACTTACCTCGACAATATTCCATTAAGATAAGTACTTCCCATACATTATCACTAATTGAATTAATGGCACAATCCAAATAACCCACAATATTTTTGTGACCAGATAGCTCTTTCTGTAAAAAAAAAAAAAAAATTGAAAAATATACATTTTAAAGCTCTATCATTGCCAATGGTTTGAAGTCTTAATTAATGTACTTAGAGAATTTCATAAAGTAAGACAGGCATAATTATGGAATCTGACATATTTCAAAAAGGTTTCTATAGTTCTGATGGAAAGTATTTACATGTGACTGTCATTTACTGATAGGCAAATATTCAGTGAATACTTATCTTAAAATTCAATCAAGAAGAAAGATGGTTCACTCGAAAGTAATAGTCTCCAAAAGTGAGTGTACAAGTTAGTCCTTAGAGATTCAAGAATAAAATATCAGAATTTTTACTTATACTTATTTTTATCTAGAAAAATAATAAGCTCTAATACAGAGATGCACAAGGTAGGTTTACAGTTGTGAGTACAAAAAACAGAGTTTATTTTGTATTTTCCATACAAATAACTGTAAATCTACTTATGCCCTTCCCTATATTTATGAATTAACAATTATATTCTTACTAGAGGCCCGGTGCACAAAAATTTGTGCACTCGGGGGGGAGGAGGGGTCCCTCAGCCCTGCCTGTGTCCTCTCGCAGTCTGGAACCCCTTGGGAGATAACGACCTGCTGGCTTAGGCCTGCTCCCCGGTGGCAGAGGGCAGGCCCAATCCCTAGGTGCAGCCCCTGGTCGGGCTCAGAGCAGGGCCAATTGGGGAGTTGGGGCACCGCCCCCTGTCATGCACAGAGCAGGGCGGATCGGGAGGTTGCGATGCCACCCTCAGTCACGCTCAGGGTAGGGCCTATTGGGGGGTTGGGGCACCCCCTCCTGTCACACTCAAGACAGGGTCGATGGGGAGGTTGCGGGCCCACCCCGTCAC